ACCTCGTTCTCTCTGAGACATTCTTCGAGGTGCGCATTTTTATGTCTTCCTTCATTGCTGGCTTTATGCTGTCATGCAACAAGGCAGTTGATTCTTCAGAATCAATGACTTGCGTTTCCGCTTACAATGCCGGGAGGATTTTGACACAGTGCTGGCCCGCTCATGCTCCTGTCATGCTTTTGCCGTTTCTCGTAGTTTTAAGATCAAACAAGGCGCTTGCACTAGATACTATGACACCATGAAGCTATTTTCAAGACAGGTGGAGTTGATGCAACATGTGAACAAAAAGATCACATCAAGCGCAGTCGCCTTTGTTTGGATTCAAGTAGTCTTGGTGCGGGTTTCATCCTTGGATAGATTGGAAGACATCGACTCAATAAAGCGTGGGATGCGATTCAGACATCTTAGATAGTGGCATCAAAATGGATGTCACGCTTGAGGGCCAGTTGTCCACCGCATCTCGAGCAGCACTATGGACCTCATGACATGTGACATCGAGGAGACAGGGACGTTGACGAACGAAAGAGCGTTTTGAGATGTTTGGAGGCCGCTTGCAGCTGCTCGTCCATGTTTTTTCTAACATAACTTAGTTTCCCTCAAAAATCTAGGAACCAAATCACTAGTGCGAGCGTGAGCTATTCTGCGTCCATGCTAGTAGCTTAAGTAGCTAGTAGCTAGCTACCTCTTCTAGTAGCTACCTAGAGGCATACCTCCCTTCCCTGGCCGGCAAAACACAAAAAAAACACAGAAACGTCTTCAAGCTTTGTTCCGAACTTCTGAGGCCCTCAGAGAGCGCTTGGCACCTGTGGGAAGCCTTGAAGCTCTGGAAAGGCTCTTCTTGCAGTGGGGCATCACCACGGCCAGGCGGAACGTTCGCGCACCGAAGCACGGTCTGTCTCTCTCGGTCGGTTCCGTTTCGCACGGTCTCCGTTTCGCCCCGGGTCGCCCCAGGTCCGAAGCGAAAGGGGCACGTGGTGAGATTGGATGATTTAGACTTGATATTTGGTGAGATCGTCGATCAAGTGATTCCGAAGATGAAGACAAACATCTGAATGAATCCATGCGCATGCGCTGGATAGCTTCTTGTTGCGGAGACACACGAGGGCCGCCTTCACAGGAAGCTGTCATGGACAAGCCCAGAGCGCTTTGGGAAGCTGCGCGCCGGTGTATGTGGGAATGATGCTGGTTTTGCTTTTTCCTTTGAAGGGATTGAAGTTTTCTGATGCCACACAGGGTTTTCTTCAAGGGTAGTTCTGTAATTAATCCATTCTTGTCTCATGCACAACTGAGGCTACTGGATGCGCTTCCTGTCAGTTCGAGCCCCACTGAAGGAGAACTGGTTGATTCTGCCTCACAAGAAGGCCATTCAACTTAGATGCCCCAAACCCTAAACCACACAGAGAATAGCACACTTTGCATCTCCATCAGGACAATTGTCGGACCTTCGAGCCCTGCAGTCTGAGCTGTGGGAGTCCAGACACGTGAAGCATGAGGAGAGGGTGTGGGGACTCCGCATCGAAGGTGGTGGGTGCTAAGGTCTTCCAAACAAAGAGAAGCCCTCAAATCATTTGTCGAAACATGCAAGCTTTGCAACAGACCCCATTTTCTATCCTGTTCAAAGTTTGTGTATATAGTAGTGTAGGGAAGTAGGGAAGTGTTAAAAAATGAAATGCCACACAAGAGGAGATTCCAGAGCGGAAGCATGGCTTCCTGCACGTCTTGGAGTCAGCGGCAGGCATGGCCCAGGCGCGAAACCGGTGACAGAAAGGCATTTGGAGCTATCTCAGCCCTGGTATGGCAGGGTTTTGGAACAAAGGACGCTACTAGGGGCTCCTGGCATCGCTACTAGGAGCAAGGAACGCTACTAGGGGCTCCTGGCCGTACTACTAGTGACAAGAAGCTGCTACTTACAAACAAATTGAACCATCGGCCAGGCATTGGGAGCACATTGCTCCAGGACTCAAGGATACGTTGACTAGTCTTGGCAACTCCCAGTTGTACTAGTGAACGTGCACTGCCGCGGAAAGCAGTTTGTGAAGCTGGCCACCCAACGACTTGGCATGGGACAAAAGGTGACTCCACTCCACAGGTTGCTCAGTCCAATGAGATGCCAAAGCATCTGAAATAAGCCAGTCGCTTCAGGCGCAAAGCAAGACGCAGCGGGAAGTGGTAAATGAGGAGGCTACCAGGCGAGGATCAACTTTGGGATGCATGTTGTTTTGGGCTTGTCTTCTTTGGATGCCATTTGCTTTGTACACTTTCTGTCAATTGCTTCTCTCTTTGACCGAGAGTTTCATGCTTCATGACCCTGCAACATTTATTGATTTGCCCTGATAGCTTGTGTTCCTTTCAATTCGAAGGTGGCCGTACATTTGTACTTATCCTAAACTGATACGCACTGTCGGAAAGTTCAAGAACTATATGCAGATTCACCCCAGCTGGTTACAGAGGTAGCGAATTGCATTTCACGCCCAGTTGCTGCTGCTGCTGCTGCTGTTGTTGTTGTTGTTGTTGTTGGCTGTTTGTGGATAGCTAGTTCCGTTGGCTGCTGAATTGGACGCTCTGCAACGCTTCCTGGCGCAGGACAGATTTTGGAGCCCGTGAGGCCGATTTCTTTATATTTTTGCGCTTTCTTGTTGGGTCTGGGAGTTGTTGGCTCCGTACACAAGTTCCTCAAAGCAAACCTCATCTTGAATGAACCTAAAGTCATTCAATAAACCTTCATAATAACATCTAAAAATAACAAGAAGTCTCAAGAGAAAAACACATCTCAATCAAGAACCCTTAAACCGAAGAAAGAATCTTGCAGTGAACGTTGCGCTTGAGGTTTTTCAACCAAATGTGAGGCTGCCAAAGGGATGATTGGGCAAAGTGGGCGCTTGTTGCGCGAAAAGCTGCAGCAGCACTTCGAAGGCGTCAGTGCTCATGCCTTCACCATGATGTCAGAGCCTCAACGGAACCAGAGTGGTGAACCGGGGGCGGAGATACCGGGGGCTAACAGGCGACTTTTTGAGCCATGCACCAAGTGGCTTAGCTTGGTGTCAAACTTCCTGTTCACTTGTGACCTGGCAGAGCCGGGAACTCAAAATCCAGGTCAGGGAGATGCTGGACCCGAACCCTTACCCTTTGTCCCGTTTGCAGACAACGTTCAAGTTCATTTTTGATACACATAATTACATACTTCAAATGGGGGTATATGGTAGGCAATTCGGCAGTGCGCCGTGACTTAAGACTCCAAGTATTATGGTAATGTTCCAGGCTCTAATCGTTGAAGGTTCAAGATCAGGAACATCCTGAAGTGAGAGGTTGCAGCATGAATCTCTGTAGGCTCTCCCACTTGCCCTATGAGAGCTTGGTCTCTGCATTCGAACAAGCCCGACAGGAGCTTCATGATGTGAGACGTTTGGATCGTTTGTGCTGTTGATGTGTCACTGTGATGTTCTATTTACTTATTGTTTCTACTAGCTTCTTGTTCCTAGTAGTAAGGCCCTTGTTCCTAGTAGCGATGCCCTTGGTTCCTAGTAGCTTCTTGATTTTGTCTCTTTTTGTTGCAGTTGCTTTTGTAGTCAATTGTTTGGGATAAAGACTACTACCTTCTTGTGCAACCTGCCTTTGTGAGGAGGCTTGGTATCCTTTGCTGACTCGGGATGTGCTGAATACTGCACTCCTGAGGTTGGGGTATGGAACAGTTGGGTCAGGAAAGTCATGAAAGCCACTTTGCCAATTGAGAGGGCTTGATTGTTTGATAGTTGTGCAAGGAGAACATGACACCATTCTTAGAAGTAGGCAAAATCCTCTACTGCATTGAAACCCTGAATTTTGTGGAGACACCAATAGATGAATAGAACTCAACCCTGAAGGCAAGACTGGGCAATGCGGTCCTCTTTCATGAATGGCTACATTCCCCGCACCAACCTGATTCCTCTTTATGGTCGCTTGCCTTGGTGAAAGATCTGCGGGGGCAAGATGGTGCTCAAGGTGCTGCAACCTGCAGTTGTGCAATCTTGTTTGATTCTAGCGGGAAACAGGGCACCTCCAAACCCTGTGTTGTGTGTTTCTTGATACGCCGTGAATGGTGGCATGCCCAAGAGCATCACTGTTGAATCCAAGAACAATACTGAACTGGAAGGAACCAGTTTCCCAAAGGCTCCTAAAGGCTCCAAAGGCTACTAAAGGCTCCTACGTGTTTGAGCAGCTACTTCTCGCAAGATTTAGAGCGAGCTCTCAGGTTCTGGGCACGTCTAGCCCTTGCGTTGACGGTATCAAAGTCCGTCTCACAGGAATCTAGAAATTCTACCCGTTCCGGCTTCCGTTTGAGCTCACGTCTTGTGCTGTTGGATGCTATGGCCAGCGGACCAGTGAGCACACATAGCTTTGGCATTTCGGCAGCCCATGCGTAAGAAGCTGCTGAACAGCTTTAGATGAGATCGAATGGTGGATTCTTTGTGCCTGAACAACCTTGACACATCGAGAAGGACACGATGATTGACAGAGAGAACCGTAAAACAAGACGCAGTCCTTGTCTCTCTCTCTCTCTCCCTCTCTCTTTCACTTCCAGGTTATGGCGGGCTTCTGCGCAGTGATTTGGCACTTCGGTATCACAAAAGGGGGGCAGAGACAGCTGAACATGCAGCTTTTTCACTTCCAGGTTTGCAACCTTTGTGCATAGAGAATATGTTAGCGCGTCAAGCACTCGGGGGAGGGATCGTATCAGGGATTTGACACCATTTTGCCAAAGGGTGTTGATCGCCATCCTTTGGCGATGTGGAGGTACATGAGAGGCCAAGCTAAGCTTATCTATCTCGTTCTGGGAACATCGGAGGCCATGCTGTGTGAGGTTGCGCAGCGGGCTCTCTCCAAGGAGGAACGCTCGCACCCTCGAGTCGAAGCTCTTCACGATCCCACGCCTCAGTCGACACTGAGGAGGGGCGTACGGAACGGGAGTGAGTTTCTGGTGAAATGTGTGAGCAGACACTGGAAAACACTGTGTGAGTGTCAGGATGACAGCTGAAGAGGGTGCTACATCTCTTATGCCATGCCTGCATGGCTTCGAGCTAGTCTTTCAAGAGTTCACGAGAGGCCGGGCTAGTTCTAGCATGAAAGCACGATGTCCCTGGCCAACTGGTTTCCATGGCTTTCTGGTGATTTCCTGGAGACCACATCTCTTCAGTCAGAATACGCATACTGACGTCATACATCTACAGTCAGTTGCAAGCCAAGATATTTCTTTCGTTAAAGATCACGGGATGCCTCTCTAAGGCATTTTGAAAGATGTCTTCGATCTTGCTTCGCAGCCAAAGCAGAGGCTGGGCGTTCTTTTTTCAGCAGGAGATCAGATCATGTGCCAAATGCTTGCATCCTTGGGAACCAAGGATTTTTGCGGCAGGAGGTGCGATCTTGGCCTGTTGCCAGCTGTGGCGGCAACCAGCGCTAGAGCCCTTGTACCGGATCGCAGCTAGCGAGGTGTCTCGGCAGCATATGGCTGAAAACCGGTGACCCAAACACGGTTGGAAAGGATTGGTAGGAAGCAGATCCTGCCAAGGAACACCTATACTACAAGGGAGTCCAGGTAGGGAGACCTTTGTCCTTTTTTCCTGTTCAGGGTGGCTACTTTGAGAGCCTCCGGAAGCTGCACATCGGCAGATCTCCACAAGTGTGGTCGCCAGCGGGTTGTGTCGAAGCAGCAGACCAAAGAGACCCAAAAAGAAGAGTGGAGGAAAATCACCAAAGACCTTTGTACCTCAATGGGGTTAAGTAGTACCTGGTATTTTCAGAGGTTAAGTCGGTTAGGTGAGGTCGCCAGATGCGTGGCGGATACAGCCATAAACCACAGCCATCTCGGCTCTTACAATTTTTTCGACGGGATTGGTGTAGACCACATGCTCCCACAGTCACAGGAGCAAGTCTTATATGGGTGTGTATTTGAACAGGAGACCCCCGGTAGGACCCCTGCAAAGAAGGGAAATAGACCAGTCTATACCCATTGGTTGGAAGGTCTCCGTGGCTGTTCTGCGTTTCAATCTGCTCCGTGGCTCGAGGCTTCCACGGAAGCATTCGCATTCGTTCGTTCGCACACCGAAGCATTTGGAGCGGTCTTGAAATCCACACCTATCTCGGCTCCAATTCGGCTTGGAGAACTCCAAGTCTACATGTATCACCCGTATCACGGCCCGTATCTCTTGTTTGGAACTTGAAGGAGCTCCAATCGAGGCACTGGCACCCAACCCGTCGAACCGCCATGACAAACGACCGGCACCGGCGTGGCGTGGGCGTGTCATTGGCCAGGTCTTGGCCAACATCATGGAATTTGCGGCCGCCGACACGAAGACTCGCGCAGCTGCAAGGCAGGGTTCGTGGAGCTGTGAACCACAAACTGACCCACAGTCAGAGCTGTTTGTTGTTTTGGACAGTCTGAGCTGTTCATGTTTCTTCTCTTCAACATTCAACATTCTCAGCCCATTTCAAATCTCTAATTATAGAGGAAGACAAATAGTTGGCATCAGAAGAAACTGGGAAATATGCAATGCGTTTTTGATTTTGACAATCACAAGGTTTCCTGGAACGTTGACAATGGTCATTTGGCATACATGGGGGTGTAGTATTGTTGTTGCAGCAACCACCTGTCATGCATGAATTGGTGCATTTCCGCTTCCGCCCATTTTTGCAACAAACACTTGGCAGTAGTTTTCTCGTCTCTGTTGGCGGTACTGGGAAGATTCCAGGTGGGAATTCAATTGGTCAGACAGATCTCCCAGGGCAAATGGACCAAAAGACCCTTCTATCAAAGTTGAAAGAAGATTGCAGATATTGGACTTTCAAGCTGAGCCGATTCCAACAGCTTTGAATACCTTGTGGGGCATGTACGTGCCTTGCATGTCGCGTGTTGTGGTTGGCCAAACATTAGCGAGCTTGAGTGGCATTCTGCTGTTGGGGTCTCCAATCAGTATGTCCGGAAAACTCCTCCAATGCGTTGTTGAACCGAACATGGACGACGTGCCGATACATCCGAAACGATGTGACAACAATTCCATCTTGCGACCCTAAAGTCTTTTTTCATATCCATTTTCGTGACATTCCTTCAGAACAAGTCCACCTAGCAGGACCCACAAACCCGGCATTTTCTCAGCGTCTCAGTGAGGAAGAAGGCAGATCAGCTTTGGTTGCCCAATGCGACCGCCCGGAAGCGCAACGCGCAGCACAACTTCGGATTCACCTCCTCGGACGGGTCGGGTTTCGAGCGCTTTTGGGGGTTCCGGGATCAACGAGGTGCCCAGAAACCACGGTGGAGATGGGACTGGAGATGGGTCGGATGGTGAACATGCCCAGAAACCATGGGTCGGATGAGTCATGTGAAGGCTTCACCACCAGATGGTGCGCTGAAACTGCAAGGAAAGGTTCAAGGATGTTCAGGGTAGGTTTTGATATAATAACAACAACATTGGTGCATGGTGCATTGCATGGATAGAGTATTGCAGACATATTTTCTTGAAACATGGACACATTGACGTGTTTCGTAATGACAGGCTTGATAGAGAACAATGATACTCAATCCGGAAAGAAGAGTGTCTCATTCAACATCAAACAATTTGATTGAAGTATGTTCGATTGGTACATTTTGAAATCAGCCAGGCTTCAAAAAGGAGGAGCAACGCAACCAGTTCGTTGGAGCTGATCCATGATATTTCTTGCATGCTGCCAATGCTTTTTGTTTTAAGGCTTTAGCAGGCGGACGTGTTTACTGTTTGTTTTGCGCACTTGCCTTCAGAACTGTAGGTTTGAGCTTCAGAACTGTGGTTCCTTGGTTCCGAAAAGGAAGAATGCTGGTTTGGGAAATGAACTTCATTTTTTGTTTTCGGGGTTTGGCCATGCGGTTGTGGCCTCAAAGCGGGCGCATAGCCGCAGACGGGAGACGCAACAATTCGGATCCCACGTCACGCTCCCAACGCGAACCGCGATCCACCAGCATCTCTGGTATGAAGGTATTTCAGGCGAACTGGGGTCTCCCCCGACTGGCTATTGGTCTATTTTGTCTGAACATGCAGGACATCGATCTATTTATTTGCTGTGAGAATGAAGATGAGGGCATTGATCTACTTCGCAAGACACTTGGATGCAGTCCTCCTTTCGGGTGAACAAGGCAGAGAGGCTTGCAGCGATAGACAGGGACACCTAACAAACCTAGACTCCTTGAAATAATCTTGGAAGTGGATGGCATGGCCCGTGGGATGACCTTTTTCCTCTAGAAACAAGTGATTTTCCATTTGTCCATCATTTCCCACTTCCATGATTTCAGGGCCACTTCTATGGCCATCCAAGCATAGCAACTCAACACCTTGAAGGATCTTTGCAAACAACGCCCAGAGACGGGGGAGAGATGCTCTGACTTCTTGCGTCCTTTGTGTTCCGCGACCGACCAGGACAATCCACACAATCTGCAGCAACATTACTCAGAAGCGCCAGGGACCGGAAGACGGTCACTTGGATTTCATTTATAGCCAACAGAACTGGAGAAAGAACTCGACATTTTGGTCAACATGAATACATGATAATACATTGAATACATGGATGATTCTCAAATTCTCAATGTCTAATCACACCCACAAACAAACTGCTAAGCTTCTTTACCCATCTCAAGGCTTTTGCACTTCTCAAAGTCCCTGTGTTCGCGGTCAAAGTCCACGTTTTCACTCAAGACAGAACACACGACAGCACCGGACTCAGCACGACACCATGCAGCTTTCCAGGTGTCAACGCATCTGGCTACAGCAGAGATATTCGGCTTCTACGGTCGGCCAACGCTCTGAGCATTTGGGGAGGGTGGCCTCATCGAACGGTGCAGATTATGGTGATTCTGTACAAGGGAGCCTCGGATCCAATCACGAAGAAAGCAGAAAAAAGCAGTCCATGGAGGCATAGCCTGAAGGGATTTTTCAGCGCTAAAGCGCCACACTTAGAGATCTTTCATGCTAATCATGCTTGCTTCTTTCTTATTGGATGCACACCAGGCTGCATCTTCAAGAAAAGGCTGCTCTCAAATGCCGTTTCATGATGCTGTTCGCATTTGCCAAGGACCTGATGAGGTTTTGAACTTCTTTGACTTGGATTGTATTAGTTTGGGTCGGGCCCCTGTTGGGCAAGCTTGTTCAAACAGAACAGAATCACTTGGTGCATTTTTGTTGCCGTTATATCGTTGTTTCAATGGGGACACTGCAGAGTTCCGACTTGTGGGATCTGATGGTGATGACCTGACAATCTGACGATGCGATTGGACGCATACATTTCAAGAGCCTGACACATGCATGACGGCTCTGTGTACATTGCCCGCATTCATCATTCAGGCATACGAACCAAGCAATTTTTGCTCAATTTACGTCAGCTTGTGTTGTTGAATTCGAATGGGTATCAGTTTCTTGGAGTACACCACGTAAGAGGGCATTGTAGAGTGTGGGTGAAAAAGAAACGAGATAAAGACTCCACTGGATCTGACACTGTAGTTCCAGGTCATTTCACTGTACACCCCCCTTCTGTACCCGGTCCTAGACCAAGGGGCGGTCAGGGGGCGCCGATTAAGGGCACATGGCACAAGTCCTGTCTTGGGGATGAGCGGTTTGGGATGCAGGGTGCTTATCCAAATCTTCTGCCGGGAGCGGCTCCGCCACGTGACGATCCAGCTGAGGCTATGATGGCAAGAACGTGTGGGGACTTCCGCGCACTTTACGATCCTTGCAGACGGGCTTCAACTTTGTCGAGCCGGTGATGGACCAAGTTTTTTCTTTTCATGATGGACTGATGGACAAGCTTTCAAACTGTGATTGAGCCTAGGTTCTTGTTAGACTCTTAGAGACAGTCTTTTCTTCTGGTTCCATCTTGGGAATTGGACTTGGTAAGAGACAGGTCACCACCAGACTCAATGCGACATCCAAACGCTTTGAGCCCAACATGTTCAAAAACGGCCACGATTCACCTCTTGGAGCCACGAGTCCCCTATAGGCGAAGCTCCGACGTTGGTCCACCGGGCCGCGGATCATGAAGTACAAGAAGCCGCCCGGTCGCAGGGGAAGAGCGGAGGATCTGGGTGGGAGCAGTCCCTGTGAGATAGGAAAGCATGGGAAAACCGCTGGTGGGCATTGGGTGCACAGTGGTGCTTCGCCACGACTTCATTGCTAACTCAGAGCCTTGTGACGTTTATGCCTCTTCCTCACTCAGTCATTCGCCATTTCTCGAGCTGCCAAGATATCATGAAAGGTCAAGGCAGGCAGGCTGGGCAGGCTGGGCAGGCTGGGCAGGACTGAGGCAGCGTTTTGAATCGAGTTCTGTGATTCCAAGAGGACTCACCTCCTTCCAAGAAAACCATCCATCGAATCCGTGAGACGGGCTGAGGCGGGGCTTTGGCACCGTCTTCTTTGAGATTTGCTTTTTGGCAGCACAGGGCGATGCTGACTTCGGCCAGGTGCTGTTCCATTTGAGGTTCGATTCTTCTTTTGCGTCTTTCAGAAGCGCTTCTTCGTGCGAAGTGCGTGCTCTTCGTGCCGATTCTTCTGCCGTGCAAAAAGGACGGGTGCTGGTTCAGGTGAGGTGCCAGCTCTTGATTGTTTTTCTCCACCACGCACCACGCGCACCACTCTCTAGTTACTCTGGTTGAATTGAAAGCGGAGAGAGTCAGAGAGGACAGGTCCCCCGTGCATAAGATTGTCACAGGGCCACGTCAAACCACAGGATTTGCACCACTGGCAGCCTCGACAAAAGTCGTGTAGTCTTTTTCCATGCAAGATCCGACCAAGTTGTTCCTTTCAATGTAGACTTCTTTGATATGGCCAGATCAAGGCAAGCATTCACCTCGCTGCGATCTTCCTGAAACCTTGGATGATGAGACAGCCAGACGGATTGCTGCGCTCCAGGGCTTTACCACAGCTCAGAATGACTTTGGCTATGGCGATGCTTCTCGGTTGGTGAGACTGGCTGGGTGATAATATACACTGACTGGCTATGTCAAATGCACAGGCCCACACGCAAAAAAGGAACGGGTGTCACCTCGTAGAGGTTCTGGTTTTGTTTCTGACCCAGTGAGTAGTGCTACCAGTGTCACTCAGGGAATGTGCCTAGGAAGAAGCACTCCTCAGCTCAGCTTGCAGGTGGAGCTGCCTTTTACAGCCCGAATGGTTTGGGGAATGCATCTAGCAACTCGGATGACTCAAGTTTGGCAGATGCAAACAGGCCTAGTTTGCCGCATTTCTTCGCACTTCTGGCCCGATTGGATGGCAACCAGCTCAAGAGCGTCATTTGTGGTGAAGGAAGGTTTTCAGGGATGTCAGCCTCTTAGACACACATGGTTCCACGCTCTTGAACATGGAAATGGGCTTGTGATGTCCGGCGTTTCCGAGGACATCTACATGGAGACGCATGAGCAACACCGGGAAGAGAGGAGCAACTCCTGCGGCCTTTGGGAACCTGCCGACAATGCTTCTTGGACGCTACTAGGGGCGCTCCTGGCATCACCACCAGGAACCAGAAGCTACCTGGAACCAAGGGCATCGCTACTACTAGGAGCAAGGACCAGTACCTTTCTCAAGTCGGTCACTGTTTACACTTTGTGGAACCCGGGGGAATTGAAGTCGTTGAGTGGAAGAAGGAGGGGTTGGTTGGGGCTTGCTTTTGACCATTTTCGGCCCATCAATTCGTGCCTTCGTAGGAACCTCTTGAGCCCTATGGATTGGGCCAGCCACAAAGAGAAGGCCTGCTTAGGTTCTTTTTTCAGGAACATGAAGGAACCACTCCAACCACAACCACTCCAACCCCTTCGCTTTGAAGGCTGGACCGGTCCGGCCTTGAAACAAAGGAGACCCGTGGGTCCCGTGGGTGAATGGCACACTGGAGAGTCGCTCTCGAGTGAAGTGGGTCCTACGGGCTTTCACTGAGGACTTGGTCGCAGGAAAATACATCTACATCGCTGGGAATGACTCCGCTTCAGAGGAGTCCATCGAGTCCCGTGGCATTTGGAAGAGCTCTTTTTTTCCTATCTGAGTTCGCATGGCAAACCACTAGTTCGACTAGGCACGAGACCCAAATTTTCCTGAAAGTGGCTGCCTGCCCATTTTTGGGGGGTTCTGGCTTTCACACACCCCGTTGCTTTCGCACCAAGCTTGGCTTTTCGTGCCGGTCTCTCTATCATCTCGTCCCGCCTGCCAGTCTTAGTCTCCCTCGCGTCTCGTTTGCTGAGTCGTTCGTGGAACCAAATGGTGGACACCGAGGCAATTGTTAGCGGTGAAGCTGGAGACGCACGGCCTACCGGGAGTGAGGTGGAAGAACACCGATCTTTGGGAGAGTCGACGTGGCAACGAGTTCCTGTGCCTGGGACGGACCGACCTCGGACGGAGTGAAACCGACCGACGGACGGACGGAACCACGATGCGCGGCAGTCGCGATCGGGTCAGAAGAGATGGGAGTGTGGACATCTTCAGCGACACGAAGCATATGGAAAGCATATGGAAAGCATATGTACATTTTTTTTGAAACTCAATTGAAGTACCTTGCCCCAATCGTGCACGTGTTTTCGAAAACGCCAAGTTGATCCAAAGGCCACGCTGCTACATGTGTCGCAGCCGCATCGACCCCTCTGGGACATTGGCCGAACGGCCACGGCTGTGCGCATGCTGCGAAGCCATCAGCGTCCAGAAGCGCCAGCAGGTGGACCGGGGATTTTGGTGATGCCCACGATTAGTGATGCAGTGGTGGGAAACTGGCTCGAAAAAGATCCCAGAAGTGATTGTTTAAATCCTTTTTCTAAAATGTGGAAGACATGTGCAGCTTTGCTCAACAGCTATCTTCCAGAAAGTTCCGAAGCTTCTTCCGCACATGATAGTCATGCAGTTCATTGATTGCAAGAGATGCAAGAGGTAGTGCCCGAGTGCCCCAAATCACCTAAACTATTGCCCAATCCTTTACAAGCTTTTGATACGTTACTTTCCATCCAGGAGGCAGACCTCTCGGGCAAGAAAGCCATCGTCACTGGAGGGCGTCTCTGGGACAAAGCGGGAAGGGACTTGCTGCGGGGCAGGTTTTGTTGTGTGCAATATGAATGGCCAGTTTCCGGTACCCACCACAGCCCACACGAAATAGGTGTCAGATCTCCACTTCCGAAGCGACCATTTGAGCGTGGCATCCCGAGCGCACAGACCCGCTGAGCGTGGCATCGCCTCGGCGGACCAAGGTGTGAACATCGGCTATGCCACAGCCTTGCGGCTCCTGCGGCTGGGCGCAGAGGTCGCAGTGACCACGCGCTTCCCAAGGGATTGCTTGAGGCGATATGGCAAAGAAGAGGAGAAAGACGAAGCCCTCGCAGTACTGAAATCTAGGCAAGAATGTAAGCTGTGTAGCTCCCATTCGTAGGATTCCGAGCAATGGCTCTCGCGATTATCAGCGCCTTGGCGGTTCACTGCGGCTTTTGGCGTTTTCAGTGCAGTCATTGCTTAGATTGCATCCTTTCATGCCCTTGCTTCGTTCCTGGGCATGTTTACCCCAAGGTGTACGGGTCAGATTTCCGCTCGGTACCATTGGTGGCTGAACTCGGAGACAAGCTGGTGCCTTGGACACAGGATGACACAGATGTTGGAAGCCTGATGAACGCTCAGAATGTTGCGCTCACGCCGTCATCCTGGAAGATTTGCAAAGCATGTCGTACGTCGTACACTCTTTAGGCAGCTGGTCGCCATCGGATCCACGGCCCCCCACCCTACGCCGGTGGTGTCCCGGTGTCTCGGTGGTGTTTAGGTGGTGTCTCGGCGCGTCTTGGTCATGGTGGTAGTGTCTCAGATCTCGGTCACGTCTCGCTGGTGTCTTGGTCACGTTTAGGTGGTACCTCGGTATGTTCTGGTGGTGTGCCGGTCATATTTACTGTAGGTGGTATCGGTATCTCGTTCATGTCTGTCTGGTCATCTTTCTGTGGTGTCTCTGTGATGATTACGTGTTGTCTCGGTCATGTTTTGGTGGCGTGGTGGTCATATTTAGGTGGTATCTCGTTAATGTCTCTGTGGTGTCTCTGTGATGTTTAGGTGTTGTCTCGGTCATGTTTTGGTGGTGTCTCGGTCATGCTTAGGTGGTGTCTCCGTCATGTTTAGCTGGTGTCTCGGTGACGTTACGTGGTGTCTCAGTCATGTCTTGCTCATGTAGTGTGCCGGCTATGTTTTTTTTTTCTGTTTTGCTGTTTTGGTGGCAAATCGGTTCTGTTTTCACGCTTGTTCGCTGACATTTTGGTGTCTCGCTTCGCGGTCTCTGACTTGTGCGCTTGCATGTCCATACGCCTGGTGCACATTGCCCGCGGGCGCTTCATTCAAGCTTGTTTCTTCTCTGGTGCCAGAACTTACTTTATGGTCTCTCTGACAACTGCATTCGTTGTACCTTTCGTGTATAAATTTTACGTTCGTCTGTAATTGCACTCTCTGTCTGATTTAGTGAAGTGATAATGTTTTGTTGTCCTCTGTAAAGCTATTGTTCCTCACATTCCTTGTGCGACTCGAACTTGCACGCATATGTGAGAAATGTTTATATAGTTTATGCGTGCACACACCTCTCCTTGGTGCGATTTTGGTTTTACCGTGTAGAAATAGAAATGGTTCTTCAGACCTTTACACCATGAACAAACACTTGAGCACTTGAACATTCAATTCAGCCATCAGTGAACATTCCTTAAGTGCTTCGTTGTCTATGGAACATACTAACTTGGATGTTGAATTATTTGCGTATTTGTGTGTAGAAACTATTGGATTGCATGTCGCTTTTTGTGTGTTTAAAGAATTGTCCTCAAAATTCGGTTTGTGAAAGAACAACGCAACGAACAACGCACGCAGAAAACAGGTGCTAAATCTTGGTGGATGCCTTGCTATTGGGGTTGTCAGCTGGGTTAACTTTTGTGGGGTTCTTACTTTTACTGCGCATCCCCCCCATCTTCCGCCCACCTTCCGCCTTCCGCCCCTGTTGCTTGCACTTTACGGAACTGACTCACTTGAACTGACTCACTTCACTCGCACCAACTCGTCTGACATTTTGCACCAACTCAACTCACTTACACCAGTTCACCTGTCTTCACTCACACTCACACTCACTTGCACTCCGTGGTGATTCTCTGCGTTTCCCTGTCTTCTTGCCTTGCTCGTCTTGACTCTACAGGGGATGGGAGGTTCTGCTGATGTGCCGTCCGCTGCACGAGTCACTGACACTCATCGCATCGCGCCGCATCGCATTTGACCTATGCTCATCATCTGCACGCATCCCTCCCGTGTCGTTCTCCTCCTTCTGTTCCTTCCCTCCGGTGGTCTACCATAAAGCTTCATATGTGGCTGGTCCTTTCGTTTCTGCCTAATTTCGATGGGTTCATGCGTCGGCCAGACGAGCTCATGACTCTCATACGGCATATACGGTTCAAGGGTTCAAGCCTTCGCGGAATCTGCCAGGCCCTCGCTTTTCCGCGGCTAGACATTCTCATCAACAATGCAGCACAGACAGTGCGACGTCCCGCGGCGCACTATGCTGAGCTGGTTCGTGGCGAAGCTGAAGCACTGGAGCAACGCTTGGTGACTCGGCATGGGTTCGAAGCGTTTGTTGGTTGTCTGTGACAGCTTGCATAACTGGGGTTTGCCGAACTGGTGGAGCAAGAATTGTGTCATCAAAGAGTCCATGGCCCAAAGGAGCTGAAAGGCTGAAAGGCCTAGGCGGTAGCCTTAGTGAGATGGCCGGCTAGCTGAGGAAGCACGCATCATGCAGGCGAGTGACCTAAAGTCCTTAGACTCTTGGAACCAAAGAGTCCATTTGCTGAACAACACAAATGTGATCGGGGTTCTGGATTTGTTGGAGCAGCTAATCCAATCGTGCAATTCCCCCATGTTTCCCTGAAGCTTCAGATTTGCATTCTTTCCGATAGACTTTCAGGAGCCTTTTTGCCACAGCGTAACTTTTTCAACGCAATCTGTTCTCACTTTGCCGGTTCAAGCCAAGAGACCGAGGAAAGCTTTGAGCCGGTCGGGATGATTGCGGATGCCAGTGGTTCAGGCGGAACTGGTTCAGTGATTGATGGGGGTCGGGTGAGGCCCCTGGGGTCTCAGTCAGGGCCCCTCAGTCAGGGTGTGATCACCCTCCGCCCCATTTGAGCGAGAGCGGTGGGTGCACAGGAGCCATGGCGAGAGCGGCGCCAGGTGCTGTGGAGGAGATGAAGGCCTCGTTGGGGAACGTGATGTGCCGTGGAGGATTCGAGAGGATCCTGTGGTATCGGGGCATACTGTATATGGCTCTTCTCATGTGTTGGATGCGTTTCTGGCAGAAGAAACCACATGTCCCAGCAGAAGTGCCTGAAGCAGCTGGCTTTCTAGCTACCATTAAAGGCATTGCAAAAACGATTTGCAGCATTTGGCATCAGCTTTTTCGACAGGAACAAGGGCAGGGTTTCATGTCCAGGACGACAGGGCAGCGACAAGCTGGACTGCGAAGATTGGAGACATTTCTTGGGTGGAAAGCCTTGAAGTGCAGGTTGTGAATGCTTCTTGATTGCATTTGTTGAATGCCTCCGGTGGCGCACCTAGATGTCTACCCTGGTGGATTTGATGGGGTTTAGTTTAATGTATATGCTACTTATTGTACACATACATACACGTACAGGTAGCAGATGACCTCAGACCTTTCTGAGATTCCTAGATTGATTGACAGGTGACCGCACCATTCACACTTCTCAGCAAGCTGAAGCCGTGCCTGCTGGTGAAGGTGCAAGCTGGTATTGCGATGCCTTTCCCACGTACATGACACTAGGCTCTATTTTATTGAAAAGGACTCAGCATCAGCATTAGGAGCAAGGGCATCGCTACTAGGGGCTCCTGGCCTTACTACTAGGAGCAAGAACGCTACGAACCGAGCAAGGGCATTTATTGCGGCTTCTTTCAGTTGACATGTTTCTTCCTTCCACCATCTCTCCCCTTCCTTCCATATCTGAGAGACGCCCCGGACACCGCGTCTTGGAGCGTGAACAGACGCCAACCCAACGACCGCCAGGATGAGCCCTTGAAGTTGGTCCAGACGTTCACCTCACAAGGGTGGGTGCCGGCCCTGTTGACACGTTGACACCGGTGGAAGGACACACCGACTGGAGTTGTTCAGAACACCGGTGGAAGCCATGGCTGAGGCGCGTGCAAGACTGCACGCGTCCAGCCAGTACTTGTGTTGCCCTGATGCGCCTGACTGCAGGTTGAGCACAGGGAGGATTCGTTTCACCACATGCAATATGAGACCTTTGGTGCAAGTGCTGCTTGGTGAATCCAGTCCTGGTTGTGAATGTCACGGAAGATGTTTGTGATGATGGATCAAATGAGTCGGTCTTGATCCGAAACCCAGACCGGATCGGTCAGGCTTTCTAGGATTCTCAAAGCATTTTTAAAAGAACGTTTCAACATTCATCATTGGACTTTGCTTCGTGCAAACCAAGGACCTGCTGTCCCTTACAGCTCTGACAGACGCCAAGGCGTCTTGGCGTCTGTCAGAACGAAGATTGGAAGGGGGAGGCTAGACTTCTGTGCGAAACGGGTTCTCTTGTACCTTCTTGCGACTTCGTTCAAGTGTCCATGTTCTCATTTTCCCAGGGAGCTTCGAAGCCTTCAATTCCATACAATCCACCATTCGGTGATGTCTAAGGCCTAGCAATTCACTCTTACCTCCACGGAAACCCATTCCACAAGTGTCACCCTGTTTGCCATACACTTAGACTCTATCCCAAAGATTCTTGACGCGCAAAAGGCTTGTAGAAAGAAAGCCAGAAGCTGATTCACTTTCAGTACTGGACAGATACGCGAACCTTTCGGAACATCTCAACAGATTTACCGGTGCACTTTTTTCTTCAAACAAGAGCCTTGAACCCCTTAGCTGAGGTGAAAAAGAACATGCAGACGCGACGGCCTTTTCACCCACCGATTCAAAAGGCCTTGGCGAAGCAGATGCGCCGCGGGGCTTAGCTCTTGGACCGAGTGGGTCTCATCAGGCAACAGTATACCGCTATATATTCATTCTTATTCTTATCATTATCATTACAATTTTCATGTACATGTTCTCTGGGATGTCTGAAAAATCTCCTCTCCGGCCACCAAGGCTTTGTTGTGCGCCTCTACTGCAAGATACAGTGGAATAGAGGGCCCTTGTTCTAGAACCTCAATTTCTTTCTTTTTGGCGAAGTTGATGGACAAAGACATGAATAAAAGCATAGGGCTGCGCCGATGTTCACATATCACCTTTTCTTGAAAAAGTGAGCTAGAAAAGGCGCATCTTGCTTCAAGATTCAAGTTTTTGCTTTGCTTCATGGTTTTGCATTTTGGGTGGACTGCGAAGGGACCGCACTATCAAGATATTCCATGCTTCCTTTATAGATACTTGTCCGGGTGTAGGTGCGTTGATTGGAAGTTATAGGAAGCACAGCAAGGTGCATTGATTGGAAGCAAAGAGATTCACAACTTCTCCGTTTACGAAGCCTAGATCGAACGTGTGTTTGCTTCGGTCACAAGCAGAACCTTCTTGCGGGGAATACGATGGACGTGGTGATCGGATTCTTTCCCTCTCAAATGGTCTTTCTCTTCCTTCACCGGTTCTTGCCCGGCCCTTGAGGAATGTGACCTCTCAGGAAGGCTCTTTCCGGACTTTGGGCAACAAAGGTCGGGGCTGCATAGCACAGACAGACAGGCTGCGAACTCTTCCCTCTTGCTAGGAACCAAGGGCAACAAAGGGCCCCTGGGCACATCTCCCAACTTGGGGAGCTTGTTGGTTTCAAGTTGCACTCATACCCAATGATTTGCTTTGAACAGAAGAAAAACAGCATATGCTTGGTCTGGAAGACACTTTTTTTTGCTTTGATCAGGCACCTGTGATTCAGGCACTTGTGTGACGATGCTATCTGGTGTCACACTCCACACAAGTGGCGAGTTAACTCCAGGATGTTTAGTAACAAGTGGCGAGTATCGAGTGTGCACAGCTCTTGTACTCCGAACTTGCGCGGCCAGGTGCAAATCATCCGCACACGAACATGGCCAAAGCATCGCTGAACATGATGACATGTTCGGTGGCCGACGAGTTCAGCAAAGAAGGCAAGAGTTCTGTGCACACTTCGGATTTCATAGGATTCATAGGATTCCATAGGATTCATTGCACATTCATTCATAGGATTCTTTTGTTTCGCAGGAATGGAACCATCAGATGTTGCCCCTGTCTCTCCTTGGACAACTGGTTGTTTGTGAGGCTGTCACAGGAACCGTTTCTGCAATCCCCAAGGGCACGACACCATTCCGTTGCTTCGCTCCGCTCGTTGCACGTCGCGTTGCGAAAACCTCCAAGTGTCGAATGTCACCAAAGCGTCGAGCGGACGGGACGGAACTGATGCAGAAATGTCGACACTGGCCTGCTGTGGTGTGAGAATCACTCGTGAAAACACCTGTTTCAGGCGTTGCAGTGGTGTCTGTGGACACTGGCTGGATCTCGAAAATGATCCTTTGGCAGAAAACGATTGTACTATTCATGGAATATCTAATTCAATGACGACATTGTGAGGTATGCGATCTCACTTAGTATGAGTTGTAGGCAAATGCTTATATCATAGCTACTAAACGTGTCATGGCTGCGGAGTGACCTGGCTGTGGAACATTTCTTTCCTCCGTGAATGCCTTTGCCCCTCCTCTGAGGAAGCCAGATCCGCTTGCAGAGACTGCCGCTTGCCTATCCGCACCTGAAAGTCTTGTAAGATCCAGTGTGAAAGGCACAACACTTTAACTCAGAACAGGATTCGGATATATACAATTTTCCATGCAATAGCCAGCCGGCATAGCCATTCCATGCCATTTCCCCCTACGTCTTCGCTGTGCAAGGAGCCTCACATACAAAGTTTGCCTCCCTTGACGGCAGAGGACGGAGCAGCACGTGTTCTGGATCCCATCTTAGGTGCCTTGACACTTGGCATGTCCAGCAGAAGTTTGATTCACTCAGAATCAAGGTAGTCACGTCTGGCAAGACCATTAGAGGGAGAATGCAGGCGCTCTCAGCGCTCTTTTTGGCTCTCTATATATAGCTTCTAAGCTTGCAACCAGCTTTCTGGTGAGGACTCTTTTTCCCTTTATCTTTTCACAAGCAAGTTGGTTTTGTTGTTTGGTTGGTCCCCACAGCTAGGTGTTTCAAGTCGTGAATCGAACTAACTGTCTCTGCGAGACATCGATTCGCTCGATACGGATGGTTCTCCGCAATGAGGTGAGTCCGGTCGGTGAGTAGGGTCAGCACCATTGGTGTATCTCTTCAGCCCCTCTGATTCTTATTTTGACAAGACTTCCAAGTCAAATGGGCCCGGTCAGCAAGCTGTTCTGGTTGCTTTGAACTCTGAACAGCTTTCAGTTGCTCAAAGGTCTTGTGCGGATTTCGTGAAACAATGAAACCGTTGCCGGTACGACCCTTTCGCTGCACGACACGACCGGTAACCCAGCGCACACGTTTTTGGGGTTCCGACGCAGCACTTCGGATGTGGTTTTCGCTGAGACAAGGACTGCTTCGCACTTCGCCGGGGGCTTTTCAGGTCGGGCACTGTCGCCCTCGACAAAGCTCGCTTTCG